GGCTCTGGGGGCCAGTTGGTGGGAGTAACGCCTACCTACTGGAAGATGGGGGATCTGGGTGGAGAAGGCGCAGTCCCGATCTGAGCAGCTTGGACCAAAAAATAGAAAGAAAGAAAGAAAGAAAGAAAGAAAGAAAGAAAGAAAGAAAGAAAGAAAGAAAGGAAGGAAGGAAGGAAGGAAAGAAGGAAAGAAGGAAAGAAAGGAAGAAAGGAAGGAAGAAAGGAAGGAAGGAAAGAAAGAAAACACAGCTGCGAGCAGGGTCTTACCCTTTCCTTAACACATTTTTGTTGTCAAGGGCTGGAGAGAGAGTAGAGTAGAGGAAGCATTTGCTTTGCACCACATGGCTGACTGGATTCAATCCCTAACACCACCTCTGGTCCCCCCACCTTCAACCCTTAGCACCCCCAGGAGTGATACCTGAACACAGGGCCAGGAGTGAGCCCTGAGCACTGCTAAGTGTGGCCCGATCCCCTTCCCCCACCCTCAGAAAAGGTGAATTGTCTTTTTCCCTCTTTAACCCCTTTGGAGAAGTCCTGAAAGCACCCTGGTGGGACAGATATCAGACACCCACCTTCTGCTCTCAGAAACCTGCCAGCTCCTCAGAGAGAAGTCCCACATTACCATTCTTCCAGATCTTCTGACAAATGACTAAATTCTGTTTCCGGGCATTGCCAGTTCTCTTCAGAGATATGACAGAATTCTGAATCTCAAAAAACTAATCTTACTTTTGAAGTTGAGAAATACTCCACACGGCACCTCAATCCAACACAGGGTCCCTGGGGTGTGGAGTGTGGCCCTGGTGGTGGGTGTGATGCTTGGTCACTGTTTGTTGCCCTAATCATCATCTCTTTGAGCCAGCCCTCCTCAACTCGCCTCCTCACCAGAGTGCTCCGACGCCATGTTTGCGTCTCCTGAGAAGCTTCTCTTACTGAAAGGAAACGAGCCTGACAGTCTTGCTCAAGGAAGATGATAGGAATCCCCTGGAGGTACTGGGGGCACTAAACAAAGCCCCTAAGTGGTCATTTGCTGCCCACTGGGCTCTTCCTCAGCCACATGGAGCTTCCTCAGCATGCCCATCACCTCCCATCAGCCAGGAAGGGGGCGAGCTGGGAACCTCAGAATCATCCCTAGCTGCCCCCAAGCCTTACCCTGTTGGCCTAGGAGGGGCACCTAGAAATAACCAGTCAGTCTGAATCCCTCTTTGCATTACAAAGAGGGGGAGTTTGGTTTCTTTAGTTCATTTCTCTTTATTTTGGGTGGCCTGCCAGGCAATGCACTGTGTCTCAGAGATAGTCGACCAATCTGGATGAACAATTCAGGACTTGGGTCCTGATATGAGATGCTGCTTGCTGGGGACCAGCAGGGACACACCTAATAGTGTTAGGGGGACCTGACCTGGGGCCTCTGACATGTAAGGCATGTGCTCCAGCACTCTCTCTGGCCCCCATGGGGACCTACAAACCAAGCACACATAGTAGCTGATGATATGTATATATAATATTATAGTATATGTTATATATAAGGTTGTAATTTGTTGTATATTAGTTATGTTATATTTAATTTATATTATCTATTATATCCCAGATAGTGCCTCAGACTCTTCCAACTATAGTACCAGACAAATGCACACACCCCATCTATATCTCTTACCTGACATCTTCATCAGGGAATAATGTGCCTCCTAAAATATTTAAATATTTTAAATGCCTTAGAAACAATAGAATTGTTTTGGTTTTTAAGAGAAGAAAGTGCTTAACAGACTAGTGTAATTTGAAACATCTAAAACATGAGCGCACACACACATGCACAAACTCATACACACACGTGCACACACACGTAAACACACGTGTGTGCCCCCCACATACACATGCGCACAGACATGCATACATATGCATGCACATACACACATGCACACATATGCACGTACACACACACACACACACACACACACACACACACACAAACACATACACTCCTTAATTTGGAATCATGCAAAATTCTGGCATGATTTGCCATGACCCAAAGCAGAGCAACCCCAGTGGCATCCCAAGGCCCTTCCACGAAGCACACATCTGTATAACAGGACATACATGGTCAGACTCCCTAAGGTGGGTGTGGAGAAAATGGAATGGTGTATTTCACATAGGCTAAGCTATTCAGCTTGGTGGTTTGACAAGATTTTCGAAAAGGGTGAATAATTCTAATTGCAGAATTGCTATAATAATTCAGTCGGCTAATTGCATTTTTTAAAGCTCAGTAGCAGGCAAGGAAGAATTTCCTCCTCGGGTTCTGCTTTGATAGGGTAGCATTCATTTTTAAGAGCAATGAGATTTTTTTAAAAAGTCAAACCTTAAATATCATGGCTTCAGCAATCTGTCCTGCTTAAAGTTGAATGCAAGAGGAGATGGCGCCTCGGGGAGCACAGATCCCCTTAACACAGAGCCAGCTTCTGGGGGCTCGAGATGGGAGCGCCTCACTCTGAAAATGCCTCAGCGTGTCCTTTGGATGTCTTGGGACGGCTTCAGTTTCAGGACGCCCGCGCTCATGTGCTTGTAGATTGGGACACTCTCTTGAGAGTGGGTGGGAGGTTCTGAAAACCTCTCAGTGGGGTTGATGGAAATGGAAGGGGGCCCTTAAGCTCAGTAGGCTGAATGGAAGGAGTGGAGGGAGGGAGTCAGAGGACTGGGGTTTCTGGATCTCCTTCCTTTCTCACCAGAGGTTCCGAATCTATCAGATAGCCAGGGCTGCTTCTGGGAGGGATGCGGTTCCAAGCAGTGCTCAGGGGGCCCAGGGACACTCTGTGATACTCAGCCAACAGGGCCAGCGGTTGGGTGTTCAGCCCAGGGGATGTGCTGCCGCTCTATGGTGCTAAAACCCCTTCAGTGTTCGGGACCCCCAAAGCCACATATAGTGATGCTTGGGAATTGTACTGGGGATTGAACCCAGTCTGTACAAAGCATGCACCCTCACCCCTGCTCTCTCTGCCAGGCCTCTCTATAACTTTGGGGGGAGGGAAGATTAAGATAAACCCTCCTATCATTTCCATAGTTGGAAATGATCATTCTGGACAAGAAGTGAGTGCTGAAAGTAGGTAGAGAGATATATAACTTTTCAGTACCTATATTGCAGATAATGCCCAAATTGGGAGGGGAGAGAGAGAGATGAGAGAGAGGGAATAAAAGTGTCATAGAAGCAGGCTGGGGGGATGTGTGCGGGTGACTATGACAGGAAGAAAACTGGAGACATTTGTGGTGGGAAATGTACACTGGTGGAGGGAATGGGTGTTGCTGGAACACTGTCTGACTGAAATCCCATCATGAACAACTTTGTAACTGTGCATCTCACTGTGATTCAATTTTTAAAAAAATAAAAAAAAACTCTCCTGAGTGGTTAGGCATCAATTACTTGGAGTCACAGAGTCTACCGGGGACTTCCAGATCTTGAAGACTCTGTCCCCAGACCAAATCCAAGTTGTCTTTGTCATGAGCTATGGACACCTGTGTCAAGAGAGTAGGCGGTGACAAAGGCAATTTCATTTTTCAGATACGTTTTCTGTTCAGTGAGGGAGTGGTTAAAAACCAGAGAGGAGGGGCTGGAATGATAGCACAGCAGGTAGGGCGTTTGCCTTGCACGCAGCCAATCTGGGTTCGATTCCCAGCATCCCATATGGTCCCCCGAGCACCGCCAGGAGTAATTCCTGAGTGCAGAGCCAGGAGTAACCCCTGTGCATCGCCGGGTGTGACCCAAAAAGAAAAAAAAAACAGAGAGGAAAAGAGAGACACGAGGAGGATCAGAAGAACGAAGATGTAAATGGAGATGAGGTTGCCCTTCAGTCTAGAGAATCGTGGACTGGTCGCCCTTTCCTGGACTCAGCTGCCAAGGGAGAGAAAATCAATTTTTCCCTATTACTCCACAGCGAGGAAGGAAAACCTATTTGCAAATTGAATTAAACCCAATAATAGCATGTCCGTGTATTTGTTGAGGATTAGAAAAATTAGCCACAGCATACAACTATATTACCCAGCAATGTAACTAGAAGTCAGCACGGTCCCATTTCAGTACTTAGCTGAGACATTTCCCGTTTTTTTTTTTTATTAGAAAACTCATGACTAAATGTCACTGTGATTCTTCCCAGTGCCAGCACACGACACCTCAGCAAGGATTCGGGGAGGGAAGATACTCCAAGGGCCCATCTGGGCAGGAACGTGTTTCCAAATTCTTTGCTGCCTAAGCCTCTCAGTCGGTCAGATCATGATGGGATGAACTAGAACCTTCGACGCGGTGGTGTCTTCCCAAACTGCAATCTGTGGCGCCGTCTGTGGAATAAATCCCCGCTGTCTGCGTCAGTTGAGTCTCCTTCAGAGAAACCCTCCAGCCCCGGCCTGCATCTCCAGCGCAGGCAGCGAGGGTTCGGGAACCTCATTAGCAGTCTGCCCTCTAGTGGCCCAGCGCAGTACTTCAGACCGCTAGGAACGAAAAGGATTGTTTTCCCCTTCCTCAGAGACAAGAGTTCTGCTTTCTCATGTAGTGCAAAGGGAGACTTTTACTCTCAGGAGCCGCCTGCAAGGGCTGAATCCAGCGAGCTTCACAATGATGAGTCCAGGTCAGCCTTAAAGACAGGTGGTGCTCGTCGGGTGTGTCCAAATCCTTCCATTCCCATCCTTGGAACTGCCCAGGGCTCTCTTGGGTGACAACCCTCAGTTCCTCACTTTCTTATTATAGAGATAGGATTTCCCCAAGTGACTAGCCTACTGGGAATGCTAAAAATAATCAACTTTTCCTCTTTTACTTTTTTTGGTCCTGTGTGTGTGTGTGTGTGTGTGTGTGTGTGTGTGTGTGTTTTCTTTTAGGCAAATCACTAACCCAAAGACACCTTCCCAAAGGGCTATGTTGAATTTTTTTAGAGGTCAAGATATATAAGTCTTACAAGAAGACCACGTCTTGATATATATATATATATGTATATATATATATATAGTGGTTGTGGCTGTTACGTTTATTTTATAGTGAGAACTGGACATTGGTAAGGCAGAAGATAATCTTGAGCTCTGTGGTCTGGATTTCGCATCTGTGTTTTTCAAAACTGTCAGAACTTGGCTTGCTTCAGCTTGTCAATGTGATAGCAGAGCTTCAGCGCTGGTCCCAGCTTCAGGCCCAGGTACTTCATGACCATGTCACTCTTCAGCAGCAACAGAGCATGGCCGTCAATCTCCTGCTGGAACAGGATCAGAAAACAAGAAGCTCAGTGGCAGGGCATGGTGGCTATGACAAAAGAGGAGGCAGAAAGGGTCAGGGGAGGCAGAAGGGGACGTGCATTAGCTTAGACACATCTCTGTGTGCCAAGACAGACGCAAGACTGGCATTTATTTATTTATTTACAGGATTTGGGGCCCTGTCAAAGTGGTACTCAGGGCCCATTCTTGGCTCTGTCCTCAGGAGTGAGCCCTGGCTACATGTCAGGGACCATAGATGGTGCCCAAGAGCCTACTAGGAACAGCCACCTGCAGGACAAGCACTGTAATCCCTGCGCTGGACACAGTCCCTCTGGTCCTAGATCCACTGTTATTTTAGAGTGACAAAGACAATGGGGAGACGTTCAGATTAAACTCTGATATTGTGGAGAGATATCCTAAGTTATCCCTTTGTCTGCTTTGACCAGAAAATAGCACTACAAGTAAATAAGGAAATTCAGCCTTGCTAAATTCCATATGAATAATGGGAGGTATCAGGAAGGCCCAGCTGCCACAGGGCCAAGGTCTTCAGACCTTAGGTGGGATGAGAGCAGACTGCCAATGGCCCAGTGCTCCATCCACCCACATCTGAACTTCCACTGCCACCAGAGGATTAACCCAGCTCCAGGATACTCTAGAGAGACACCTGCAGTTGATTGTCCCAGCTCCAAAGTCCCTAAAGGGTGCAGCCACATATGTGGCTGTGCAACACCTCCAAACATCACAGAACTGATAGCCCAGGAGAAACAAGAGAAGTAGATGGGAAAAATGAGTAGAAGTTCACTGAGCTCAATGAGTGAAAACAATTACACAGAAGGTCTAACTCGTACCTTATAGCTCACTAAATCCTCAGGCCATGACTTCAGCAACACCATTATGAGATATATGTTGTAATAAGCAATATAAATTATTTAGTGCCTGCTACAGGAGCAGACTTGGGGGTGGGTGGGAGACTAGAAATATTGGTGGAGGTGAGTGCACATTGATGGTACGACTGGTGTTGGAATATGGAATGCCTGAAATAAGTGGACTGTGAACAGCATTGTAAATCATAGTGTTTAAAAGAAGTTTAAATAAAAAAATTCTAATATAGTTCCTTATTATGGATTGTAAGATGCACCCCAGTTTTAGAGATGCTGTAATGTTGAAAAATATGCATCTTAGAATTGAAAAAATTAGTATATTCTGTTGAAACATAATTATATAATAAAATACTTTTTCAAATTAAACAAATTATTGGTTTATTGGGGGGAAGGTTTAGGGTGTGCTCAGGTGCTATTTATACCTTTGTACACATAAGTGACGGTACTCAGGAGACCATATGTGGCGCTTAGGATTTGTTGTTTTTTAATTTTGTACAGATTTGGATTCTACATTAATAATGATTTCTCATGCACATAATTCCAACATCACAACCACTACCAGTGTACCTACCTCTCTCACCCAAAGACCCCAGTGCCACTCTTTCCCCATGGGTGCTGGGATTTGAACCAGAGTCATAGTCAACATCTCAGCTGCCTGCAAGGCAAGTGTCTTACCTCTTGTACTATTTCTCTGGCACAAGATCTTCTTTTAAAGCAACAATATGTACCTTACCCATTCCCTCCCAAGAATCATTTGATATACTGGATCTTTCTTATCCTTGTTCCTCCCCTCATTGAAGGAATCACACGCAACCCCACCCATGTTCTCAATATCCCACAGAGGATGTTTATCTTCTCACTGGCTTTAGGGCTAAAGGAGCAAGCGGCCTGCAGGGATCCAAATGTTTGCATGTGCCCTGTGCCAACTCACACGTTGAAATCCTCACCTGCAATGTGATTGTGCTAGGAGGAAGGGACCTGGAGAGGGAATTAGATCATGAATGGCACTGGATCCTTACAGAAGGGACCTCAGGGGGCCAGAGAGGTAGTGCAGCAGGCGAGGTTCTTGCCTTGTATGGAGTTGACTCTATTAGATTCCTGGCGTCACATATGGCCTTCCGAGCCCTGCCAGAAGTAATACCTGGGCACAGAGCCAGGAGTAACTCCTGAGAACTACTGAGTGTGGTCCAGAACCCAGAAAAAAAAAGCCAGTTGTCATTGTAAGTATGTTAGTAACACACAGAGATACACACAACAGCATTTTCTTTTCTTCCTCAAACATCATTTTTATACTTAAAAACTCAAACTTGATCTCTCATTATAAGGGTTTTTTAAATTAACCTGTTAAAATCAATTTTATAACTTTTAATTAACTATTATGGCTTCAAACTGGACTATTTTAATTGTTCATTTCTTTTCTTGGGAGGCTTACCTACCGTTTGATGATTACCAAATTGGTAATTACATTTAATGAGGGATTTCAGGTGCATTTTGGTCCTCTCAATAATACTGGGTGGCATAACACTAAGTAATGCACCTGTTTCATCCCAGAGGTTAGCATGAAGACTCAATAAGGGAATGCCAAGCCCTTCAGATCTTGGAGGTGTTCCATTTGTCTCGGAAAATGATACCTCCCATTATTCATATAAAATTTAGCAAGGCTGAATTTCCTTTTTTACTTGTAGTGCTATTTTATGGTCAAAGCAGACAAAGGATAAAAATTTGGGGTGCCCATTTGGATAGAAGAGGAATAATTATAGAATTCATATAGCTCTCCAAGGATCAATATTCTTCCCATCCATCATCCATTCACCATCTACCCATCCACCCATCTGTCCATCTGTCAATCTGTCCATCCATCCAGTATTGAGGAAGCACCTACTCTATGTCAATCACTCAGTCCCTGTGTCCTCCATAAAACACAGAGTAGGGAAACCCATCTTATCATTTAATATTCTCACTTCACTTCATTCCTAGATTTCCAGTTTCCTAGCACTAAGAAAGATAGCAAGACAACTCCCACCCAAATTTGTCTTAATAGAACACATTCTGAAGTCCTTGTTCTCAAGGTTAAGGAAGTCAAATATAGGGACTGGAGCCATAGCACAGCGGGTGGGGCGTTGGCCTTGCACACGGCCGACCTGGGTTTGTTTCCCAGCATCCTATATGGTCCCCTGAGCACCGCCAGGGGTAATTCCTGAGTGCAGAGCCAGGAGTAACCCCTGTGCATCGCCAGGTGTGACCCAAAAAGCCAAAAAAAAAAAAAAAGGAAGTCAATTACATCCCTCATAAAATATCATTGTTGGATTATCTGAGAGTCCTCTCCAAGATTCAAGAAAATGGTTTCTACAACAAAAACACCAAATAAAATAAGAGACAGGAAGGAACACTAAAAACAAACAAACAAACAAAAAGAGACAAAAAATGAAAAAAAAATAGTAACTATGGTAGGCAGAATAAAATGCTCGTTCCTCTCTTTCAAGATGTCTAGGTACAATCCCCAAAATTGTGAATATGTTAAGTTACATGGCAGAGGTATTAAGCAGAAGGGAATTAAGATTATAGATGGACATAAGATTGCTAGAAAGCTGACTTTGAAATAGGAAGGTATCAGTTGGCAGCTGGAGAAGCAGTTGGAGAAGGATCCAGCTGATGGCATTGGCTTTGAGGACGCAGATAGGGCATACCAACCAAGGGTAGGTCAGACTCTGGGAATTCTCCCTCTCACTACCAGAATAAATGCCCTGCTGACCCCTTGATCTCAGCCCCATGAGCCCCATACTCTCAGACTTCTTGCCCCTTAAGGTTATAATTATGGACTTGGGTGTATTTAATCTACTGTATTTGGGGACAATTGGATTTAGGAAAACAAACATAGTCAGCTCAGTAGGTATGGTATTCTTCCCTTTGTTTCATTTGTCATGTTTATTTCAGAATCTCCTAAATAATAAAAATATTGCTTGAGGATGGAAGACTACCTTCTGGGGTCCCGTGCTGGACGCTGAGTCCATTTGCTCATCTGATCCACCAAACAGCTTAGCTACAGCACTGTGAATGTCAGCCTGACATGTTATAGGTGAGTTACAAATGTTTGCTCAATGCACAGGTGGGAAATGGGCAAGAAGACATGCTCTCCTGACAAAGGCCTGAAGGTGAGAACTCTTTATGGAGATAAATAATCCCAAGGGGCGGGAGAGATTGCAGCAGATGAGACACAGGTTCCATCTCTGGCAATATATACATTCCCTCCAGGAGCGATCCCTGAGCACAGAGCCAGGAGTGGTCCCTGAGCACAAAGCCAGAGTGATCCCTGAGCACAGAACAAGGAGTGACCCCCAAGCACAAAGCCAGGAGTGATCCCTGAGCACAGAGCCAGGAGTGAGCCTGAGCAGAGCACCAGGAGTAATCCCTGAGCAAAGAGTCAGGAGTGGTCCCTGAGCACAGAACTAGGAGAGATTCCAGAACACAGAGCCAGGAGTGACCCTGGAGCACAGAGCTAGAAGGATCCCTGAGCACAGAGCCAAGAGTGATCTCTGAGCATAGAGCCAGGAATGAGTCCTGAGCAGTTCTGGGTATGGCCCCAAACCAGAAGGGGGAGAAAAACCCCAAAACATGCACCCCAAACCAAAAGTCAGAAAACATAAATTAAACCCAAATCAAGCCAAACTAAGAACTTGTGCTCTGAGGGCTTGTGAATCTTTTGTGTCCCCTGAACAGTACGCCCAGGGCTAAGTCCAGAGCTCCCTTGGGAAGTGGCTCCTGTAACCTCAGACTCCTTCCTTACCTCCCGCCCTCCCAGCCACCCCCGACTTGCATACGTGCTTTCTGAAGAGCTCCACGTGAGGACCCAGAGACTGGGGGTCGGCATCCTTCACGAACCACACCACGTCCTCCACGGTCCAGGTGGAGGGGTTCCGGCTGCGCAGCCGCCTGGCGTCCGGCCTGTCCGGAGAAGGGCTTGAGGCTGGATGGGGGAGAGAGAGAAGGACACCGTGACGCAGGGTCTCAGCGCCCGCCCTGTGCTGCCTGTCCCCCACTTCCACATGTCCTGGGATGGCGTGACCCAGTGACTTCCCGTGACAGAGAACATGACTGATGAGCCTGGGGCAGCCCAGGAGCACAGCCCCCTACTCAGGACATGAGGAGTACTAGCGATGGACTCATTGACCAGCTCAAGTTCTGCACCCTTAGAGCTTAAAGTTCGTCCCTGAACATAAAATAACAAAATAGTAGACTAACACCCAAGAATGGCCGAGATTAGTACCAGGAATTTTACTCCATGGCTTGGAGGCCAGCCACACATGCTAGGGGAAAAGGGAGCTCAGATAGAGAAGGGAGCACCAAATAAAGGGTGTTGGGAGGATCCTTCCAGGATGGGAGAAGCATGCTGAAAGTAGACTATAGACCGAACATGATTGCCACCCATTGCCTCTTTTGCAAACCACAACACCCAATAGGAGAGAGAGAACAAAAGGGAATGCCCTGCCACAGAGGCAGAGTGGGATGGGGGGATGGGGATTGGGAGGGATACTGGGATCCGTGGTGGTGGGAAATGGGCACTGGTGGAGGGATGGGTGTTTGATCATTGTATAATTGAAACCCAAGCACAAAAATTTGTAATTCTACAACTGTACCTCATGGTGTCCCACTAATAAAAATTAAAAAATTTAAAAAAAAGAAAGTGTGCAATTAACAGAGATGCTAACTGAATTTACTCTTACTTAAAATATTTTATGGAAAAAAAAATAAAGTTTGTCCCTGCCCATCTCTGCTGAAGAAGTCTCCTAAGGCATCAGAGAAAGTGTGTCCAGGGGAGACAGCTCTGGGCTGGAGGGCACAGGGCCCCACCTTGCTCCTCAGCCCATGTGACTTCCAACGGGCTGGCCCTGGTGGCTCTCAACAACACTGAGGAGGCCCAAAAGTCAATGAAAATTAAAGCGTGCCGAGGTGAAGGTGCAGAATAGAGCTGGCAGTGTGGAGAAATGGCAGAGATGCCTTCAGGTCCCTTCCACCTGCTGCAAGTCAAACTCTCCAGAAACCCACAGTCTGGCAGGGGTCCAGCCAGCCTTTGCAGGGCTAGAGGAGAAGGAAGGGGCTCCCCTACTGCCCGACTTCACCTCCAGTGCCCCTCAGTACATGAGCAGAGACGAGACGAGTCGGGCAGAGCCGAGCAAAGACCAGCAGAGCTCAGCAGAGCAGAACAGAATCGAGAAGCGCCAAGAAGAGCAAATCGCAGAGTAGCGTGTAGACAGAACAGAGAGAGCACAGCAAAGACATGCAGGGTGCAGCGAAGATGATCAAAGCAGAATAGAGAAAAGCAAAATTAAGCAAAGAGCAGGGTATGGCAGAGAGAGAGAACAGAGAGAGCCGAGAAAAGACCAGCTGAGCAGAGCAGAAATGAACAAAGAGAAGAGAAGAACAAAGAGAAATGAAGCTGAGTAGAGCCGAGAGAGAGGACAGAGAGCACCACAGAGAGAGCACCACGGTGACTCCCCCTCTGGCCCGACCACAGAGGGCTGGCCCTAGGGCTGGAGCCATAGTCCAGCTGTTAGGTCTTGTTGCAGGGTGAACCATAGTTCGATCCCTGGCGTTCCACAATGGTCCCTCAATCCTCCACGAATGATTCCTGAGCTCAGAGCCAAGAGTAACCCCTGAGAACTGCAGGTGTGTCCTGCCATCCCCCAAAATAAACACCAAAAATCCAAACCCGAGGACTGGTCCTGTGCTTGCCTGCAGCCGGCCTGGACCAACAAGGGCTGCGTGATTATCACTGGAGCCAAAGTGCATGTCCCGTGTGGCTGACCTCAGGCAGGAGTGTAATTAGGGGTTTGCTATGCCCTCTTCCTTCAAAACCAGCTTCTTCCCTCCCTCCCCCCATTTTTTTGGTCCTGTTTCTGGAACCTTGGTGCCCTTCCTGCCTTTGTCCCACCCCCACTGTCAGGCTTTTGGAAGGAGGCCTTGCTGATTCCTCCCTCCTCCTGAACTGTCTCACCCAAACCCGGCCCACAGGAGGATTTTACTGCTCAGGGTGGTGCCCACCGGCCTGCAACTCTGCCTTTCTGGAAACTTCCCTCTACTCTTTTCCAGGAATCGATAACCCCCTTCGTGCCATTGTGTGGACAAGATGTTGACTTTGAGGCCCTGTGTTCATCTACCAGCCTGTTGCCAATAAAGCTCTTTCTCACTGTCCCTCACCGGGTGTCTCAGTTGATTAGCCCTTGAGTGGACATGAACTTCACACTTAGAATCCCGTTTTCCTTTTCACTCCCCAGAAAGGAAAACCTAGGGCTTATTCCTGGTGACACTTGGCCAACCCAGCCAGATACTCAGTGCAAGGATGCAGAAAAATGCAGTGTTGAGGCGCTCCATGGCTAGACCCTTCGATGTTCAGAGAATAAACAATACTGGTGATTAACTTCTGGACTCACTCTCCATCATTACTCCCCTATCTCCAAGCCACTGGGAAGTAAGTAAGTTGATAGAGCTGGCAGTGTGGAGAAACGGCAGAGATGCCTTCAGGTCCCTTCCACCTGCATTCACAGAAAGAAGTCACCTTCTTACAGAATAACCCAAAGGTTGAGTTTGAACTGCCTTTGCTGATATTTCCTTTCCTTTCTCCTTTCTTTCTCTCTCTCCTTTTTTTTTCTTTTTGGCTTTTTGGATCATGACCCAGATCCTCCAAATTCCAGTAGGCGGGGGTCACACTTACCAACTGACCCCCTGGCACCGTGTAATCCCATCAACGGCCAAGACTCAGAGACTATAAAAACCAGTTCCCGGAACCGCGCGGCCGCAAATGTGACATCTTATTATGACATCTTATTATCTCATTCCTACTTTGGACAAACTGGCAGGCTACCGAATGTAGCCTGCCCACACAGCAGAGTCTGGCAAACTCCCCGTGGTGTACCCAATATGCCAAATACCAGTAACAATGAAGGGTCTCATTCTCCTAAAGAGCCTTGAATATAATCTCAGGGCTAGGATGAAAGAGATGTTACTGGGGCCTGCTCGAGGCAAGCGACGAATAACAGGATGGTCATGATTAGTGATTCGTGATCATGGCCCAAGTGATGCTCAGGGTCCAAGGGTTACTCCTGGCTCTGCACTCAGGAATTACTCCTGGCAGTACTTGGGGGACCATATGGGATGCTGGTGATCAAACCTGGGCTGAGTGTGTGCAAGGCAGACACCCTACCTGCTGTATTATCACTCTGACACCTTCTTTCCCCCCCACCCATCAGAGGGGAGACCCAGAAGATGAGCCCATGGGGTATGCACCTCCAGGGACAAGGGGCTGGAGGGAGCTGCACTGAAATGCTCCCTGTCTGATCCTCGAGGAGTGGGGTGCAGTGCCGGGAAATTATACATGCCCCTGGATGTGAGCGCTGGAAAGAAGAGATGAGCTCCCTGCCTTGGAAACCATCTGTGCTGACACTCCGCTGGGCTGGGAAGCAAGGTAATGGTCCTGGCCTGTGGATCCCGCCCCTTGCATGAGGGCGTTAATCACGGCCATAATAGCTGCTCTGATTACAAAGCTGGAAGTCAGCGGGTGCCAAGAATGATTTTAGAGGGACCAGAGCAGAGGTCAAATCTAATTTCCTGCATTTGACTGGGAAGGGAAAAAACCACCCAATGGATGTATTCCCAGTCTTGTTCCCCAGAGCCTGCAACCTTTTGGGCAGGGTCCTGTTTCTTGGGGGGCCATGTTCGGGTTGAAGCAAGCAGGGGTTCTTAGCCTTGCTGGGATGACTTGGGGACCAGGGAGAGACCCAGCTTGTGGGGGCAGTGGCCTGCCTCCTCTTCCTGCTATGCACATTTTTGGGGTCTTACATTTCCTGCAGGGGTATGAAGCAGGGTGGCTCTCCACTCTTCACTATTCCGAGGCACCCTGTGGTCAGACAAGGTGGAGCTACCACACATGGGATGCCACGTGTCATGCCAAGCACAGAAACTCACTCTAGAAGGAGGAACGGAACCTTGCATTGGCAGGTTTGTAAAGTCTTTGCAGCAGCGGTGCTTGCAAACATAATAAATCCACACTCTCTCCTCCCAGCTGCAGCGAAGGTGTCAGGAAGATAGATGGGTCTGGCCTGACACAGCCAGGCCAGGCAGAAGAGATGGGACAAGGCTGGGACATGATGGATGCACAAATATCCTTCAGCTAAAGGGACCACATTCACAGCCCTGACCATAGACTTTAAGGGAAGGAGAAGGCATTCTTCTTCTTGATGCTTTTCTTTCCTTCTTTATCTCTTTATTCTCTTCTCTTTTTTCCTTTCCCTTTTCCTCCCTCCCTCCCTCCCTCCCTCCCTCCCTCCCCTTCTTCCTTCCTCCCTTCCTCTCTCCCTCCCGCCCCCTCCCTTCCTCTCTTTCTCACACCCAACAGTGCTCAGTACCTAGCTCTCTGCTCATGGATCACTCCTAGAGATGCTCAGGGGAACATATACAGTACCAGAGATCAAACCAGGGTCAATGGCATGCAAGACAAGTGCTTTAACCCCTGCACTATCTCTTTAGCTCTCTTGCTCTCTCGCTCTCTCTCCTTTTCTCTCCTTCCTTCCTTCCTTCCTTCCTTCCCTCCTTCCTCCCTTCCTTCCTTCCTTCCTTCCTTTTTCCTTCCTCTCTCTTTCTCCTTTCTTTCCTTTCTTAACTCAGGGTTCACACAAGCTAGGCAAGCATTCTACCACTGAGCCACATCTCTGCCCCCTTATTTTTCTTTCAAGCCCCAGCACTGTTGTGTGAGGGTGTGTGGTGCTGGCATCCAGTTCAGGCCTGTAATGCTCAGCATGTGCTCTACCACTGAGCTCTCTCCCCTAGTCAGGTCATTTATAAAGATGAATGCACATTTTCCAGGAACAGAATAACAGTGAATCTGTATTTAAAGTTATTCTGGACAGAGGCTGGGGGAGATGGGTAGCTCAAAGGATCGCAACAGATGTTTGCATGCAGGAGCTCCATGGT